AGTACTCACACGAGTTTTATATTAGTTTATTTATAGATCCTTTCACGGTTTCCGACGTCATATTGTTTGGGGGGCAAATTTACTAAGAAGCGTAGGGAAAGAGATACGTTTTTCGCAATATTTCCATTCTGAGGTTACCCTGCGAGCAGAGTCTCCTTTACCTTAGAGTTTTCTTTCCTTTCTCTCACTCGGGGGAAGGTAAACTTTCGAGACCGAACTTATCCTGTAGATGGAGAATCCTCTGTTCAATGTTTTGTGTGGTGTTTTTGAGCCAATGGAGCCACCATAACACTGGTTCTCAGAGAGACGGAGGCTTGCTTTGGGGTTTGCGACCAAGACTCGTTTATGCTGGTTCAATTTGACCGTAAAACAATCTTGCCTCTATCAGCATTACAAAATATTCTATTTTAGTCAAACCGAATCCACGGACTTTTTTCTGTCTTACAATGACTAAATGTGCCCAGCGCGCACAGTTGACACGTTTTCCCGTGTCAAAACTTGTTTCTATTTTGTATTGGACTACCTGTGGATTTCGCAAGGATTTTCGCGCCAAAACGCTTGTGCTCGCCCTTCCAACTCTGATGCTCTCAACGACACTGGTAAGGGAACATATATTTTTTACTTTTAAATAAGCACAGTACATACCGCCACACACAACACCAGCATCTTCATTATGACCACAATTATGGTTTTTCCATCCTCCAGATGAACATCTTGACAATGTTAACTCTGAGCCTCTACATTGTACATGATCGAGCAGAATAGGGCCTGTTCCTTGACCAAACCTTGCCCCAGATACAGCCTGGGTAGCGCGGGGCAAACCAAGTTGACGACAAACGACCGTGGCATCGTTTGTATCCCAACCGTCATCACAGACTGTACCCCATGTACGTGTTGGGGGATGGTAAACCTCCACTCGTCCTTCGTTTGACGATCTTCCTCCCACCAGCCTCACGTGGAATGCTGTATGTAAGTACGATAAACGATATGCTATCATTATAATAATAATTATTATCATTGTTATCGATCACCACCATGTAATGGAATGTAATATAATGCGATTATCATTATCTTTATTTTATCTATTATCATTAACTATTATTTTTATTATTATTATTATTATTATTGTCGTTGTTTTGAAGAGGGATTTATGACATAAATTTTTATATTATGATTAAATTTATCATCATCATCATCATCCCGTCTTGCCAAATGAGTATATATCAGGGTAATTTTAATTACTGAGGTCCCACAGTTTTCATATGCATCTCCGATTATCCTCTCACAATTTTACACTTGTCGGACTTGATCCGGATGCAAAGTGTAACAATAAAATTAGTAGTNTTATTATTATTATTATTGTCGTTATTATTATTATTATTATTATTATTATTGTCGTTGTTTTGAAGAGGGATTTATGAGAGATATTTTTATATTATGATTAAAGTTATATGGGAAAGAACGGTGGCGTGCGCTGCTAATGCGCCGCCTCTCACCAAAGCAGCCCGAGTTCGAGTCTCGATGTCGTATGTGAGTAGAGTTGTTTGTTGGTTCTCTCCTGTGCTTCGTGGGTTTTTCTCCAGGTTCTCCGGTTTTCCTCCCTCCTCAAAAATCAATTTCTAAATTCGAATTCGACCTCTGGGCTTTCACCTAGTTTGAAGCCTAGCTCTGTTGTGATTGTCCCACGCTGTGATAAATCAGCGAAAGCTTTGGTAGATTTTAGATCTTTATCATCATCCCGTCATGACAAATGAGTATTTTTCAGGGTAATTTTGATTACCGAAATCTCACACTTTTCATATGGAACTCCGATTATCCTCTCACAATTTTACTGTGAGAAGTGTAACTTCGGGATCCCTGTGCCGCCCTACTCGTGTTCCCTGGCACTAGTCAGGCCACGTGTGACAAGGAGCCGCCATGTTTGTTCGTTCGCTTTCGATTTCAAGAGTAGCATATTTGTAATACAATAACAAGACTTAACTACCACAGGGTAAGTTTATTTGCAATCGGTCATTAGTACAAGCTCCAGCTCATTAGAATTTTGTATAATTCTAGGCCATTATTGCTGTTTTCGTTAATAAAACCGTGGAAATCAAAGTAACCTGTCACATTACACTTGCAGGACTTGATCCGGATGCAAAGTGTAACAATAAAATTAGTAGTTATAACATATCATTTACCTGTGCCGCCGCAAAGAGCGGTGGATTCATCGGACCCGTCACCGCAGTTATTGTAACCATTGCATAGGTAACTCCTGGGTACGCAGTTATTATTGCTGCACCTGAAGTCACTTCCATAACACCCTTAAAAAGAGTAAACTATTAATAATAACCTAATACTTATAATTATTTAGAAAAGTGAGGATGCATGCAATATTGGAAAAGTTATTGCTGCACCTGAAGTATCCAGAATAATATATGCTCGATGTCGAGCCGTGGTGGTTTCGGTTCGCCAGTGCTCCTCTTTCCACTGAGTTGGGGGAAGCTTGGTATCACAACGACAACCTCACGGCTAAAACCGAGTCTTATGATGACTAGCGATAAACTTTTTTTTTCAATGATTTGTTTGTGCAAGTTCCTGTAGTTGGAGTCATCTATATCTGCAATCCCTTAGCATCAAACGCATTTTACAATACAAAACCTCTTTAAAATGTACCGTACAAAAGTCTTATATAATTTAGTACGAACCAATATTCGTTCACTAATAAAGCACAGTTTTTTACCAAACAGCGCGTACTTTCCTAACTATAAAATAATCTATAATATAATTAGTGTTATTTATTTATCTCATTACTTACTTGTCGGGCAGTTACTTTCATCTTCTTGATTAGTACACTGGGGTGTACCGTTACATCTGTATCTACTTGATATGCACTGGGAATTACTAGCACACATATAGAATCCCCAAGTACAAGTATTGGTGGCTGTTGCCAACTCTGTAACAAATGTAATCAATTATTATTATTATTATTATTATTATTATTATCATTATCATCGTCTTCATTATTATTATTATTATTATTATTCAAATCATTCAGTTTGTTTCCAAGTGACGTCATCACCGCCATGAGCTTCCTAATTCACATAAAGAAGGAAAATAATTAACCTTGCAATATTGAGCTAATATTTATAAGCCAGTGCCATCAATCAATGCCCAACTCCAAAAAATGCCGAAATGAATACCGATTGTAAATAGTCAATATCTCTGACGGTTTTCAAGCTACACTGTCAATAATATACTTTTGAGGCTTTCGCGTGACGATGTATTATTAATTAAAGGGGCACTTGGATGAAAACGCCCCAATTTTTCAAAGTCCGAATAATTAAAGTATTTGTGGATAATTTGACTCAACTATGATTATGTAAACCAGATTAGTGAAAATTTTAAAAGAGAAATGAACAATAGGGTTGAGTAAATGACGTCATTTACTCAATTTATATGCTAAATGAAATTGATGATTTTTATCCGGCACATTTTACCGTGAAGAAAATATGTTGCTTGGCTACTATTGGGGCCGTATAGACACTTCTAACTAAATTTAACGTAATTTCCAATTATTTTTTATCAAT